AGCGGCTGACTGCTGAAACAACAAACAAATCAATGGATACATTGTGCAGCCGTGACTGATTAGTTTTTCAAGAACAATCTAAAACACGACTTAATCAGATAATAAATAGTTTCTCTCCAATTCTTATTGTTTCTGAGCTGCCGAGATCAACTCAAAACCTTCAGCGATCGACGTGTTGAGTAACCCTGAACTAACTGAGCACGAACAGCTCAGAAACAATACGAAATGGGGGGGGAAGCTATTTATTATCTGATTGAGTCGTGCTTTAGATTGTTCTTGAAAAACTAATCAGTCTCGACTGATTAGTGCACTCACGGCTGCACAATGTATCCATTGATCTTTTCTTTTTACAGCAGACAGCCGCTCCCCTCTCCAACAGCTGTTACGTCGATCCTGGTTTCCCCATCACATGGGGCCCCCTCTCCACCCCACTGGAGGTCCCTCACCGTCATCTCGCCGCTCCGCACCGCCCAATACGCGCGTGCTCCTCACCTGGAGAACTACGGACACAGTGAAAGATCAAACATCGTTTCGGTAAAGTTGTGACACTTTCTACACGTTTTTGCGTTAAAATAAAATAATAATAATAATAATAACAGTTATTATTATTATTATTATTATTATTATTATTATTATTATTAACAATAATAATAATAACAGTTATTATTATTATTATTAATAATAATAATAATAATAATAACAGTTATTATTATTATTATTATTATTATTAACAATAATGATAATAATAATAATGATATAATAAAAATATTATTATTATATTTTACTACTAATAAATATTATTTTAAAACAATAAAAATTAATCATGATAAATATTATTGTTATTATTAATAATAATGTTATTATTATTATGGACTAATTTTAGTAATACACACCTTACAAATAATTAATTTTTTTAAATGTAAAATGCAAAAAGTTGTCGCATTATCACCATTCTGACAGACAAACTGCTGAACAGGAGAAGAGTTTGTTGTCTTTATGAAACCAAAACTTTCCCCTTTTTTATCTTTTGGCGTTGTGCAATTGGCTTAAAGATTTGAAAAAGCGAAATATCGACATTGGGAAAACTTCATAGAAAGGTCAAGCCAAGCCAGTGCTCTCCCCAAACCCGAGCTCCAAATTCAACATGGCTTCTGAAAACCGGGCGTACAAATGTGAACATTTTAACCATTTTAATCATAAAGATGGTTTTGATAGATTACAACGAACATTCAAATAACGTTGAGTATTTAACGTTTGGGGTTTCCTGCTAAAACCCCAATGCACTTGGAAACATGAAGCAACGTGGAATTGAGGTTTGAAAATTTGTTATTGTTATCATTATTTTCAATCTTTATCTGAAAAGTGAAGGGCACTTTTAAACATGCATAGGGCTGAAATACCCTTCCTTTCTGGGTCATCAGTTATTTCTAAGAGAGCTTGGCATTCTCTCTTTGTTTGCATTGCATTGCCTAAAAAGGGGAAAAATGTCCCGACTCTTTCACAGCAGGGCAGCGATATTGAGGTCTGGGGAGTTTCGTGACTTTTCAGGAAGGTGGATATTACAGTTCAATTATGTAAATTATAGATAAGCTCAAAACGAGCACATACTTCACGGAGATTTGTCAGGAAACTGAACAATAAGTTTGAAAGGTAAACCGCAACCTTTGCTTTGGATTTCTGGTCGCTTGTAACTCTACACCACTAGGGGGAGACAGAGAGCTTAAGCATGAAGCTTGGCGTCAGAAATTGCATTTATGACGCACTTCTCCCAAGAAACATAAATATCTGAACTTGGTTGTTTGTAAAAAATAAAATAAAATAAGAAAAACAAACTAAAACATCAATGGACCCTGCAAAATAATATTAAGGAATAAATCAACAAGTATTTGTGAGGCCGACCATCCTCAACAGATCGCAACGACTGCATTTGGTGAAGCTGCAAAATCTCACAGGGACATAAAATTGGCCTTTCAAATTTAGACTTTTTTCATTATTATTTGAATTAGGGCAATAAACATATTCTGAAAATGTTTGAATATTTTTAGAGTGCAGCATCTAAGGTGAAATATTTTTTTTAATAATCACATTTTGCATTCACTTTAATTCCATATTACATAAAACTCATTTATCCAGTGACTTTTATACCATAGCTGTCTCGGGTGTGTCCAGATTTGCCCTTAATTTATTTCTTAAACTTGTCTGAATACAGCAGTCGTTACCAAAGAAAGAATGACACCCCATTCCTAAAAAAAAAGAAAAAGAAGAAACAACTAACACTTAATTTATTCAGGTAAAATATGTAACTAGTGCATGCTTCATTTATTGTTGAGTTGGAAAAAAGGTGATTTTTGATTTAGAATTGTGTAATTTTTTATGAACCACTGAATTCCCCCTGCTGCCTCCCAACAAATGAAAGGACTACAACTGCACTTCCAGGGTCTGAAAGTGGCCAGCACGCCGCAGTTTGGACATCCCTTCTCCAGATTGTTCAGAGTTGCGAGGCCGGTAGGCTAATGGATTATTTAAGTTTGGGAACTCTGGTTTTCAAGCACAAACTCTGAGTTTGCATCTTAATTTCTGTATTTATTTGGCAATATATTCCAGAAATGTTTCCTGCTAAAACCCCAAGACCCCCAGGCAAGAGAAAAACAAAAACAATAATAATGATAATAATAATAAAGCTCATCACAAACAGGTTGTTTAGCATAATGTTCCCCAGGGTGTGGGTGGAATCGTTCTTGTTTCTCTTGTTCCAGAGAAAAAAGAAAAAGAAAACAAAACAAAAACGCTGCACCAGATATATTAGTCATGCTGATCTTTCTCTATGAGGACATCACCTATTACCCCGAATAAATTAGGTCTGATTAACGTCACAGAGCTGGGACAGTTTTCATTCGCTGCCATGTTTGAACCTTTTCTCCTCTGATCCAGCTAAAATAAACCATCAAACCTCGTCCTCTGCTCTGCCTTCTGTTTGTATTGAAAACAAGACACACGACTTGGCTTGTTTCTGGGGGACATTTCTCCTTGTTTTTGTGTTAGGAGCGATGTCAGAAACATCAGGGATGTTCAAACAACAAAAGGAATAACGTAAAAAAATAAATAAAAATAAAGCCAAAAAAGTAGTTTTTACTGAACAGGAGAGGAGCTGGAGCAGCTCTCTGATTGGTCTGTTTTCTAACTCAGTGGCTTAGTTCAATGGGAAAATACAACAACCTGACATTACTGAAAGTGCGTCAGCGGCTGAGCAGCAGATGCAGGTCAAGTACTGAGTGTTTGCACACGGGGTCAGCGGAAAGTTATCGGCCTTTTACGACAAAAACACTGAAGACGAATGGGCAGATAAAGTTTCCATGCACTCCTCAGTGGTGGAGCTGTGATGTTATTACCATTCTTCTCAAAAGCTGCAGTATGTGACTTTTATTTTAAAAAGTTAGTTTTTTTACATATTTGATAAAATTATCACTGTGTTGTGACCATGATATGAAACAGATGATCTATGAGAAAAATCAAGCTTCTTTGGATTCCCCCAGTGCTATTGAGAAACAGCCAATCAGAGCCAGGAGGCGGGTCTTAGCGCTGTCAATTGAGCCCGTGTGCACTCTGGTTGATGGCTTTAAGAAATATACAAAAAAAAATAAAACTCTAAGAAAAGTTACATACTGCAGCTTCAACTATAATGGAATGATTAATAATAAATAAAGATTGGCAAAAGTTTGAATATTCTTACGATTTTTAGAAACCATACATATAGGCTCAAAGGTTTGATATTTGGCTCAATTATCAACAAATGTACAGGCCTAGTTCTGCCTGTAGATTTCACGGCTATTCGTGGTGGAATTGCTGGAGATCATTTAACGTATCATAACTATATATACAGTTAAGATCAGGGCTTCTCCCGTCTTTCTCCTTTATCCATTCCAAAGCCATTTTTGGTGCGAGTTTGAGATGACCGTCTTGTCGGAACTCTCATCTTGTCCAAGTTTCAATTGTCTGACCCAAAACTTTGAACCTCATATGAAAAGAAATTGTAAGAAAGTTTAGGAATTGTGATGCTGGCGCCACGCAAGAGATGGATGGAATAATAAGGAAGAAGAGCAACGACTCAATTCTTCAGTTTCTCCTTCAACCAACAGCAAGGTGGCTGAAAGTGAGATACAACTGGATTTTAAAGTAGGACAGTGACCCTGAACACACATCAGAACTTGTTTTGTGATCAATAAGGCAGGCTAGTGCTACATCAACTTTAGGCTGGTAAAAACCAGCACTTTGTACATTTTCTTCATAGAGGGTCTGGGCTCTTGGCTGAAGAGAAACTATTGTTTCCTGTAAAGTGAGGACTCTGATGATGTTTCAAACGTTACCTGATCCCTAATGTTTGGCAATGACGTACATGATGTGCCAGTTCAACGCCGTGAAGCTTACCAGAAAAGTTCTCCACTGTAAAAAGAAAAGCGCCAAGTTGAACATGATGGCTGTTCATGCTAATTCAATATTTGGAAGTGTGGTCAACATGGACCGAATGGCTTTGTTCACTTTCTCTGCTGACTTTGCTAAGACTACAGGCAGACTACAATTCTAAGACCGCACACAAGAAAATGACGTCATTGTTCACAACCTCTCTTTCTGTTTGCTGATTGGCCTAGGAGAAATTATCGAGGTCAACGGGAGAAAGCGTAAGCAAGATTTGAATAGCAAGACAATGTTGATGTTGAAGTTAGTCTACGTCAAGGCTGGCTCATGCTGACGTTAGCCTGCATTAACTTTAAGCTACATTGATGGTAGCCTAACATTAACATTAGCCTATGTTGATGTTTTCTGAATGGACCCAACCTCAGTGTATTAAAAAATCCTAAACATTTTTTAAAAGTCAGGTTGTAAACCACTTGGCCTACTACTGTGGGTTATGGCCATTTGCTCCAGGTGCCATCAAAGTCTTGTTGATTTATGTCTTGGTAGTTTCTTTAAAACTTCTCAAAGTGAGTCTGAAATTGGCTCAGTGTCTTTGAAAATATTTATTGAAGTACATAAGCAAATATATATGTACATACAAAGTTACAGAATCACAAAATATAAAGGTTATCATCTGTATGACAGTCAAAGTGACCAGAAGTCATCGACTACTTTACATCTAGAAATATACTTGGTTATGCAAATAATAACAATAATAAATAAATTCATTTTGAAAAATAGAAAGGGAATTTCTTCTCAGAAATCAAAGCAACAGCACTGATTTCATTAACTGAGAAGCTGGGGAGGAAAAAAAGCCCCTTTGCGAGTCTCCAGACAAGATCTGTGATGGTCCTCTACAGCTCCAGGCCCGGCCAGCTAACGTTTGCTGCAGGACGTTTTGCTTTGTCAATGTATTTACAGACAAATCAATCACAACACTAACATTTTAAGTCATCCTCGCCACATTCGCTCATCAAGTAGAAAAACCTAGATAGAAACAGACATGCTCTATAGCTCCAAAGTGGGAAAATGTTCTTCCTCTTCCATATCACTCCTAAACAACTACAGTAAGAAACAAGACGTTGTTATGAAAGTTGGATTGTTTGCTACCTCTACACATTATTTCAGTACAGCTGTAAAACCAGCCAGCAGTGGAGGTCTTGACGGAAAGGTCCGATGTGCATCTTCGAGCAGAGTGAGTTAGTGAACTAAATGCAGTTTGCGTGGCAGCAGTAGTTTTACACATAAAGGCAGGACTGCAAGGTTGGTTCTGTTCAGTTGACCTCCAGCTGCAGTCCTCACTGGGTGGAGTCGGAGTCGCTGGAGTCCAGGCTGGCCTGCGTGGGTGTGGGGGTGCGATTGGTCGCCGCCGGGCAGTAGAGGGCCTGCGTGCTCCGCCGGAGGTTCTCCAACGACTGCAGGAAGGAGCGACGCGCCCTCTCTTCTTCCAAGGGGGAAGAGCCTTCCTCTTCTACCTCAGCGATCTCGGCGAAGGTGACCGGCTGGGTTTTGAAGCGGGCCTCCCGGGGTCGGCGGGAGCGACTCTTGCCCTTTGCCGGGCTCTTGGGGACGGGCAGTTGCTGGGGGAACTCCTCGGTGGCGGTGGCCATTAGGTGGGCCGAGAGGACGTGGAAGCCCGAGGTCTCCGGCGGCATCTGACGCACAGCGGCCATGGTGGAGCGGGAGCCCGAGGGAAATGAAAATGTTAAGACAGTCTCTGCGGACACAAGCTTGTCCTCTCTTGCTCGTTTGGGAGTCTTGTGGTAGAAGAAGAGGAAAAAAATCTCTCCACTCAGAAGCAAAAAAAAGCCAGAGAGGACCAGAGTACAGACCTCCAAGTCTTGGCAGAATGGAGAAAATCAGTCTTGAAGAAAAAGCGATTGCTGCCGGTGTCGACTCTAACCCCCGTCAGTAGGTTTCAGCTCTGTCTGTCGTTTGTATGTGCCAGAGTCGGCTTGTTGGAGCGAATGCCACCAACAGCTCCGACTCTTTCTTTTATAGTGGCTCACTCCCCACCCTGCGTCTCTTTCTCTGTCTCTACACACCATGTGTTTACCAGGGCCCTCCCTCTCCGCTTCCCTCCTCTCAGTCAAAGACCCGGCCTCTGAAACAGTCAGCCCCTCGAAATAAACACATGACAAGGCAGCATCTGTGTCCCTACGCGGTGCAGCGTTTAAAGGATATGCAATGAAGGACACCCAGAATCCAAGAAAAAGTTTTGAGACTGTGTTTTGTTGCGTTGACCACATAATTGAGCAATTTGCAGTTATGGAGCTTCTAACAGGACTTGTTCCAGTATCGCTTTGTATTTAGCTCAGTCCACCTCTCCCATCAATTCTGAAAAGCTTTCCGATCCCTACTGAAGAGAGGCATCCATCCCACAGCTCGGTTCAGTAGTACAGTTTTCCAGTCACATTGTAGCATCTTATAGTACAATAAAGGACCTATGTTGCTTTCAGTTGTTATAAATCAAATCAAATATGTCTCAAGAGAAAATTGACATTGCAATTTAATACTGTGAAATTGAGGCTCTGTCTCTTTAAGAACCTCCTGCTCCTTCTGAATCTCCGCCTTCAGGAATTCGTGGCAACATTGCTCCAATTAAACGTTGTTGTACCAGTACCAGCGATTCAATGAGAAGTAGCGGGAAGAACTGCTCTGTCAAATAATTTTTTTCCATATTATAAGTGAAATGATCTGCCAGTGGAACAAATACTTTCTTTAAATCAATTTTAAGGAATTATTGACTCCTAAATGTTTTGGAAAATTTCCTTATAGGATTAGTTTTTCCTTATTTCAAGCACACTAAGATATTTGCACAGGAAGTCAGAGCAAAAATATTTGGTGAGAGCTTTTGTTTTTGCAGTAAACAGCCTGGACCAAAGTAGTGAAGTGTCCACATCTAAATAATATATACATACGTGTGTGTGTAATGTCATTTTTTGTGCGTTTCTTAATGCGACAAAAAGGGAACGTTCACGGTGCAAGAATGCCTTCAGTTCACTTGGTGCTATATTGAAAAGCAAAATGGGCCAAAGCAAAGATTTACAAATTAGGCTGTGAGACTAAAATATGCCAGCAAATTATGAACTAAAGCAAATTTGGCAGAGGTGTAATAATTAATCTCACCGGAGGTAAAAAAAATCCCAAACAAACGGAGCCTGGTTCTTTCCCATGAGAGGAACACGACTCAAAGCTGACCTTCCTGTGTTAGTACTGTAAACATGTAAGCATGACTGCAGCAGAGCAAAATACTGGAAGTAGCAACAGACCCCATGTTGATACATCAGTCTAATCTGTCACCAGTTAAACTTGCACTCAAAGACCAGAGACCAAAACATGACAGACGCGGGTTATGTGTTGTGAAAGAGGCCAAATCATCTCAAAGGCAAAAGCTCTAGAAATCACAGCAGTTACAAGTTAACAAAACATTTAGAGGAAAAATCCAGCAGCTTTTCTACCTTATTTTGCAGACATGTCTCAAGAACGTAGCTTAGCATTATTGTCAAAGGCTAAGCTACATACAGTTTTCCATTCACATTATAGCATCTTATAGTACAATAAAGGACCTATGTTGGTTTCAGTTGTTGTAAATCAAATCAAATATGTCTCAAGAGAAAATTGACATTGCATTTTTCTTTACGCTCAAATCTGACCAGATCTCCTCACATTTACTCTGCAGCGTCTCATTGGGCACCTATAAAAATACAGAACAGCAATAAAACCCATCTTCTGGTTGCAAACCAGCTTTTTATTTTTGTTGTTCGTTTGATTTTATTTTTATTGCTCTTCTAATATCTGGTTTATTTTGTAGCTCAATACCCCTTCTTGCTTTTTGTCAGTTTGAGATGTTTTTGCATACAAAGTCAGTTTAGAAATGGAGAAGTTCAAGGGTTGTGGACACAGTGACTCCCGTTTCAGCGTCACGTTGCAAAGGTTGGTCCCAGAAGAAGAGGGCGACGAGCCCGACCGCAGGAGAAACCGGCGCGGATAAACAGGCAGGGAGAAAAGCCTCGGATTCACCAGCGGTCCCAGCAACACTCCCAGCGTGTCACGTCAGCCTGGCTGTTACCGTAATGACTATATTTATCAGTGTCACTGCTGACGGTGGGGGATGTCAGAGCCAGAGTGGACTGCTGGGATCGGATCACGCCTCGACCTTCCATCTGTGACACACGTCTGATCAGAGTATCTGCGTTTCCACGCGCTTTTCCAATCTTGAGCTAAAATATCAAACCGATTTCATACTCATTGAAATTTTTGCCAGAACAAAAACGAAGAGGAAGAAATGAGAAACTCAATAGGATGAGAGAAGCGTTTAATGTCGGGCCGGAAAATAACATTTTTGATTTTCTCATACTGAATCTGATTTCTGATGTGGAATCCATTATTCTTTTGCTCTCTTTTCCAAAAAAGGCCATAATGATGAAAACATAAAATTACAAAAAAATATTGTCAAAATGAGAATACAGTCACAGTATTACAAAAACTAAGGTAATAATATTAGTCATAATATTAGCAGAGTAAAGTGCAATTCTACCAGAAGAATGTCTGAAATGATAAGTCCTGCTACCTATGATAATTTCACGTTGATGTGTTAAACGACGTAAACCATTTGTAATCTGCAAAACTCATACCAGAGTACAACTTTGTACAACAGAGTTCAACGCTCAAAATTTCTCGTTTTAACTTTTTTTGTTATTTTTGTGCAGGAGTTCGAATGAGATTGCTGCTTGATTGTCCTAATCTTATGACTTTATTTTGGTAATGTTAACACTTTGTTCTCATATTGTTTCATCTTTATTCTGATAATTAAATCCAGAGCCTGGTCCTGATGTTCAAAATCCACACAAACAGAAGCTGTACAAAACAAGATGGCCGCCCTGGAAAATCCAGATTTTTCCAAAAACAAATCTTCAAAAACCAAAAAATTCTATTAATTGCTGAAATCGATCCATCACCCAGTGTGATATCTGTGCACTTTCATTACAAATGTGTCCTGTAACAGCAGTCTTCACAAGTGATATAATTGTTTTTATTTTTAATTTTGAGCCTTGACCTCAGTCAGTGAATCACCGGCTCCCTCTGAACGTTTTTCAGAGCATGGCCTCATGGGATTTCTTCCAGCGCTCCCTCTGGGGTTTCAGGAATGATGCTACACCTTTAAATAAGTTGCCACGATTTCATCACACATTCATCTGGTGACGCCTCAATGGAGCGCAGGAGGCGAACAGGTCATCCGCTCTCCAGTCTCACATGCAAAGTCTTGCCAAAGCAAACGCACCCTCACGCACTCGGCATGTTGTTAACGGGAACTTTGAACTTTTATTTTTACATGATTTTTTTTTTTGAAAAATGTTTGGTTTGTTTTGAGTGGACTGATGGTCAGCAAGAGGAAGGTCGGCTGTTGCCGGTCAGGTGACACAACACGGCAGTCTGGACCTTGCTGTGTGTGTGTGTGTGTGTGTGTGTGTGTGTGTGTGTGTGTGTGTGTGTGTGTGTGTGTGTGGGTCGGTGAAATTTATGTCATGATCTGGACAGAAATTTGTTATAAAAGTATTACTGATTAAACTTTAAAAAATTATGTAGCTTTATGTTATTAAAGCTAAAGTTTAATCAGCAATACTTTTATAACACATTTATGTCAGAGCATAATTTCTTGGTTAATGTCAAGTTGCCATAACAACAGCATTTTGAATATTGTCAACTTTGTATTAACAAAGTTTTACCGAATGACACTTTATGACAACAGTCATAAATATTCATGAAGTCTTACTCATGTTCATGACAGGTATTATGTCATGTTGATGACGATGTCATGACCGTCTTATTCACAACCCATCAAATAAAGTGTCGACCAGATTTTTTATTTTATTTTTATGAATACATATTTTTTAGTTGTTTTTTTTTGTTGTTGTACTTTGTACTTCCAGTAAGAGTCACAGTTGTGCTGTTCACACACTTGTTAGCCACTGGAAAATTAAGAAATAAAAAGCACATTCCAGTCCAGGTCAATGAATTGTGCCCACAAAAAATAAACAAAAAAAGAGTCATCCATTATTTTTACATGACACTTTTTCTGCCAAGTAGAGGAACTGTCTTGGGAGTGATGTCTGGAGCTGTGTAAGGTTGGTCACCTCTGAACATCATTTGTTATTTTTGCACAGGAGTTCGCATGAGATTGCTGCTTTATTTTCCTAATCTTATGACCTTATTCTGGTAATGTTAACACTTTGTTCTCATATTGTTTCGTCTTTATTCTCATAATTAAATCCAGAAAGTATTTAGAAACAATTTTTAACTGTAGAAACATTAACACTTAGTATTGCAGACCTTAATCTCTCACTGCTTCCAAATTTTGTACATTTAAATCAAAATGTAAATATATTTTTGCATATTATTTAGGTTTCTGTAACATAACTAGCCACTACTTTCCTCTCTGCTGTAGCAATGTGTTTTCATTTTTTAAGCACAGTCATGAAAGTTACAATTAGGAGTATGGAGAAAGAAAATACTGTCACATTAAGCAGGGTAAAATGTAAATACAACAGATTCACAGCAATACGCCAAATTATACAGTTAAAAACAACTGTTCTTCTCTTGCCACAAATGAAACGCAGTTTGCCGGGTTTGCCAGATCCAGCATCCAGCAGCTGATGACATTTTGAGGGGAACACACTCAGCTGGGAGCAAGAGGCAACCGAGACATAATCCCCTCCAGTCCTACCGACTGGTACCGACTCAAACATAAACACACGCCTGAAAAGAAGAAGAAAAAAAAAAAAGAGGTAAAATTTTAAATTAACACTATTAACTGTGACCTTTATGGAAAATGCATTTTGTTTGTTTGGACAGATTTTGTTAAAACTTTCTGGTATTTGTTATTTTACCAGACGGCATCAAAGCTGCTTTGTATTGTTAAAGCTTTGCGCTAACAAATTTTGGCTTTACAGCTGCTTGGAGTCCAAAACCAGATGAAATAATTACCTAAACATGCAATAACTCATTATGACAATGATGACTAAAGGTATACAGGAGGAACAGCTAGACATCTAGATAGCTAGTTAGTTATATAAGTAGCTAAATAGACAGCTAGTTAGATAGCTAGCTATAGCTTGTTATACAAGTAGCTAAATAGATAGCCAGCTTGATAGCTAGCTGGATAGGTAGATAAATAGGAATGTGAATTAAACTTGAGGCATCTTTTTAAAGTTTGTTTAAAACTGCTTTCAAAAAAGGTCTCATCTCAAACAAAGTGTTGTTACTGTCCCGGTTCTCGGTTAGACGATGAGAATCATCTCGTAAAAAAGACGGTGAATTGGGACACTCGTATTTAGAATTTGATTATTTGATTGAGAAACCGTTTGTCGGTAGGAACTTGAAGTATATTTTTTTGGTTTAAAGTGTTGAGAGATCACAGATGATTTATATACAACAGACTCCAAAATTAACACCAATTAACCAACACTTTATTGACAATAATGGATGGATGGATGTTTTAACAGAATCTTCAAAAAATATTGAACTACCCCCTTTATCAGATCTTCTTATCTGCTAAAGGCGAACTTAAACAATATGTTTGCTGTGCAGGAAACATGGAGCCACTACTCAGCGTGAACCTTCCCACACCAGTGCTTGCTTGTACTGACCTTTGGCTGTACAACAATTAGCCAACCTGTTTACAGACACTAAGAAGAAGGAAAGAAAAACATGCAAAAGGTCAAAGATGCAGCAAACATTTGATGTCGTCTTATAATTATAAA